TTTGTCACACCTGAACAACAGAAATTAAAACAAATTCAGCCTTATCTTGCTCTCTTCCCTATCTGCACTTCAACTCTAACATAGGGTTCTTCCCCAGTAAAAGGAATTAAGGATGTTCAGCAGCTCTGGAAAAAAAAATGGGGTTTCTTATCACAGTTAGATGATCCCCCCAAAAGCACTAGGAACTATATTTATGCAGGAGTATCAGGCAAGGTAATGCTGAAAGCTGTAGCAACCAGCTTTTCCTGTGTAAATCTGGTTCCCTGGTAGCTAGAGGTATTTACAATTACATGGGCAGAGCACTTCCCTGCAATTGCTCATTTAAAACAGCTCCACAGGCCTGTTGAGTGTATTTTCTAATGTTGTTTTGCAGCTCTGTGCAGCAACATCTCGAGTTAATCTACAGCTCACGTGATCCACTGCAACATCATGAGAGTCTTGGGGTTTGCTATTTTCACAGTGCCTGTAACCAGTGCATGACTTAGTATTTTATACAGAATTCGATAGTAAAAAAATAGTCCCAAAACTTTTCAAATTGAGAAATGGAACGGTTGCATCTGAAAAAAAAAAATCGATATAGAATGTTTTGACCTTATTTATCCAAATTGTCTTTAGAACTCATTTTTTATTGAAATCAATGTTAATTCATGAAATAAATAGCTCTTACCTAATCTACATTTTTAGTCACAAAAAATTACTCTTCATGACGGTTTCCAGGAAGCTCAGGCTAAGACATTTTTCACAGATTAATTAATCATCCAGGCTCACCCTCAGAGCCTCTTTCCCCATCTTTGTTAATTTGTCAGAGAAGCAGCGCAACTACTGTAGTGAGGTCTGACTCACACTTGGACAAGGAAGGCTTCGGAGATAACAAAAAAGCTGTTTCATTAAAGACAGCAAAGGGGGCGTGCCAGATTCCAGGAGCCTTCCCAGAAATGACCTTCCTGCACCCAGGTGGATAAAAAGAAGAATGATAGGAGTGCAAAGGACACTTCACACAATCACCAGAAGATGGAAGTTGGGAAAGAGAGAGGTCTGGCTTGGAGCAGAAACAAAACATCTTTTCCCCACTAGATACAGAGAATCTCAAGTAATGGGTAAGATAAGGGCTTTTGCCGTCATCAAGGAAAAAGAACAAATGCAATCAATGTGCTGTGGTGATGGGAGAAGCAAATCTCCTTCTTCTGAAAAGCAATTTGCACAAATGTCAATTCATGTATAACCTTAGCTTTGGAGACTGCTAAGCAAATGAATTGCTCGTTTGCTTCATGTGGAGAGGTTTTTCCCTCTCTCCACTGGAAAGTCGTTCCATCAGTCCTGACTTTCTATAAGCTGTCAGCAGCCCTGCTGAGCTGCAGGACAACACCCTGGGACAGAAAAAAAAAGGATATCCAGAGTGGTTCCTTCCCTTCTACAAAGTGAGGCCATCAAAGAGGAGGCAACTGAAGAGGTTTCTGAACTTCCTTGTTTAAAAATATCCTAGGCTAAGATAATAACAGTAATTTACCTGGCTACTTGTTTTTGCACAACTGCCATTGATGCTTATACTCACACCTTGCATTAAATTACGAGGTGGAGATGGTGGTTGGAATAGTCTGACATTTAAAATGTTCAGGCAAGCAAGGAGATGCAAGATGCTTACATGGATTTTTACTTTTAAGCTTATCTAAAGAAAATGGAATATACTTAAACCAAAAAGAAATCTAACATCACAATAATACTAATAAGGTTCATTTAGAAGCCAGAGTTATCGTTCATTTAATGAACACTGATTAGCTCTATTCCCAGGAGGAAGGGAAAGAGAGGCGCATTTGATTTAGAGACAGAACTCACGTGTCTGAATTTCAGGTACGGTTATGTTGTATTCAGATTTCCCAACACACCAGGGATTCAGAAGGCACCTAATTTCTAAAAAGGCATTTTTACTGAATTACTGAATCTACTGAATTAGCACTTTCTAAACCACATAAGGAAAACCTCCACTGCATGTCACTGAAGCTTTCTAGATGCCGAGCAAAGGATTCTGAGCTTACTACACCATCTAGTGTCAAACGAGGGAAAGTGCAAGAAAATGGTTTTAAACTATCTTTTCATTCTGTTAATACTTTTGCCTTTAACAGATTAATAAAACACAATTTCATCACCTCTGTAAGTTGCACAAACCACATAAGGAAAACCTCCACTGCATGTCACTGAAGCTTTCTAGATGCCGAGCAAAGGATTCTGAGCTTACTACACCATCTAGTGTCAAACGAGGGAAAGTGCAAGAAAATGGTTTTAAACTATCTTTTCATTCTGTTAATACTTTTGCCTTTAACAGATTAATAAAACACAATTTCATCACCTCTGTAAGTTGCAAAGAATATTTATCATCTTAATACGGCAACTCTCTCTCTCACAAAACTTCTCGAATGTTAGCATTTTCCCAAATGTTAATACAGCTACGTAACTGAAAATTTCCTTTAAAATTTCAATGTCTGACATTCAAAGTTGCTGAAGCTGTTGCAGATTTTATCTTCTCCACACTAATAAGTAGATCAACCTTTAACAGAAGTTTGAAGCTTTCTAAAATTAGGCATTTTCCAGAACTGAGTGTAGGGGAAATGCTACAGGAAGTAAAGTAGTAGAAAAGTGGAAAAGCAAAGTTCATGCAAGAAATTTGAAGTTACAGAAGTAAACATCACAGTGAAAACAGGGTCTAGCTTTCAGCACAACTGTTCTTGCTCATTATTATCTTCCGAAAAGAAGTAATCTGGCTAGTGCACACTAGATTTTAGGTACTTGAAAGATTACAAGACATGTCAATATCAGAAAAACTATTCACATTCCTAAACAGTATTTATCATAATCAGTATCTGAGTGTCTCAAAGAGATTTTCAGAATGGTTGAGGATGAGATTTCTGATTGTTCATCACACAAGACTAGGGTAAGGTCGATAAAAAAAATTCTCTTTATAAAAAACTTCTGAAGTAACCAATAATGACAAACTCCACTAGGATATTTCTGGACTACATCAAACCACACAATCTGGAATACGAAATTACAGCCAAGTTCTTTAACAATTTGTACACAGCAACTGGATATCAAATTTAAGACGTATCTGTTCTATGCAACACAGTACCATGTCAGGCGTTTTGAATCACACACGTCTTCAAAAAGATGGGCTGAATCCTTTCATCCTGAGGGCTAGAAAGTCTTTCAAGAATCTCTGGAATGTTTTACTTAGAGATGTACACAGGAGTATAGGCAGGCCCGTGGTTTCTCTGCCTGAACTTCAACCATCCACAGAGCTTGCAACTGTATTGACGTAAGTCTGTCCTCAAGCTGTCAAGCTGGCTTATGGATGCACACTGAGATGTTCATTGGAAACCTGGGAGCACAGGCGGGGTGATGGTAGCAAGCAGTCTACCTGTACTGACAAGGTATAACGCTTGTGACTTCCAGAGATGGCTGTGGGCACTGGTCAGCTCTGGGGGCTGGAACCAGCCACCCTGAAGGGTAGTTTTCTGATTGCGTGGTCTTTGCAGATTTCTTTCCAAATGAACACAAACGTATGGAAACAAGCAATTCTTTCCTCTGCCAAACTCAAGTCAATTAGGAAAAGTGATGTGATTAAGACAGATATGTGGCTTGGCCTTGGGACAACACTTTGGTTCCAAAGCATCTTAACTAGATTATTTTTATGCTCAAACATTTTTCTTTTATGATACTATTTCAAAGAGAAAAATACTGGGCAAATCATCCTGTCATCAGGGCATTTTGCAGCCACTAAACACAAAAGACTGTGTCAAAAATTCTTTGAGAGATGCACCCTGGTGCTGTAGATCCCACAGTGAAATTCAGCCAGTGAAATGCAGTCAGGCAGTGACTTAACCCCACTCAGCCAGACAACTCACACAACGTGTTTGCCGGTTGGGTAGCTGGTCAGACAGTCCTAGTGACACAGGAGGTGATGTGATCCCTCTCTCGGTACAAGCAAACTTCTGACTTTCATTTACACACATTTTCCCTTTGCACCAAATGCTCTGACCTGTATTCGGAAAACTGGGGCAGAACGAGTCAGCCTTTCCAGTGCAAACAGCTCTTGGTGGAGTTTCCCGACAGCTTCATCCCACTGCAATTGCCAGTGTCTTCTCACTCCTAAGACTAGAGTTGGCAGGCTGTATTTGGACCCCAGCATTTGTTATATATCATCAGAGCAGGATTCCAGCAGTTCCACCTCTCACGCAAGGCAACGAAATATTTAAATTGCAGGCACACTTATCCAGCAAATCTTTAAAAAACAGTGTTCTACATTTCCCTAGGAAGGCACGCTATGGGTTGAGAGGCAGTATGTCTCAGATTTAACCACTATTCAGTGCAGCCATGTTTACACAATACTACTGAGAAGAGCACGGAATACTTAATGATATCAGACTATAAGATGGAAAGTCTAGAATTCAAGAAAACAACCAATTCTGACTGGATTTTGGAGAGTTTGGAATGCTGTTTCTCAACTATGTGGAAATCACTGTGACAAAAAGCTTCTGAACAGGGATTTCAACAATTCCCAGAAACAAAAGTGGATCCAAAGCACGTATTTCAGATAGGAAGGGTACCACAGTGCTATGAGCTCTAGCAGAAGGTTTACTCCAGCCTCCTGAGCTAATTCTCTACTGAAGGTTAAAAGACAGGACATAGACTACAGGAGAAAGAAAGCAGGAACTTCAAAGCCATCTGAAGAGACAAATTACTAAATTTAGATTAAGTGGCAGGCATGAGACACTATTAAGTGGCAGGCATGAGACACTGTCAATCTGAAGGAAAGAAGGGAAAGTGACAGAGTCAAAGACAGAAATCCTCAGGCTGAGGAATAAGACACTGATTTCCAAGAGGAAATACTATATAGCTCCTCTCCTCCCATCACTTCAGAAAACAGCAGCAGAAAACAACTTTCTCCTGTCACAAGAGCAAATTGGACTGGGAGCTGTTTTAAGACAACTGTAGGTGTCTGGGGATACCCTTCACCTCACTTCACAATAAGCTTTTTGTCATCATTGCTACACTATCAGCTTGGATCATGCAGCCTTCCTTGAAAGTCTCCATCTGTGAAGCAAAACATCTATTTTTGACTTTCATGAAAAAGAAGCACCACTATAATCTTAATATTCAAGGAACCTTAGAGGAGCAGGGATGTTTCCCTTCCAGGCAAGAAATTGTTTTGTCTGTGATCATCCCCTGAGGTTACACAGAGGCGACATGGAGGTAATCCCTTCCAAATAACTAAGTTGATCTACTTCAGCATAAGAAGATAGATCACTGCTTGATACTGTTGGCTTCTGCACTAGAAGTTAGGTAAGCAACCTGGAAAGCTGCTAAAACATGAAAAGACAAACGACATACAAACTACACACCGGAACAATAAGAGCAGAGGACAAAGATTAATTCACATGGCTATTCCATGAAGGCTCAATGAACACCAGCTGCATTCACATCAATCTTTAATAATAAACATTCCCTTTCACTTGTAACCGCACTGTAATCACTCTGCTAGGCAAGCGATGCCCATTTCACAGGCTTTGAGCACCAGAAGGTGCAAAGCCCATCTGCCTTGTTTGCTGCTTAGTTAATTGCCTGAACAAAACCATTATCCAGAACATCACCACCTCTAGTAAAAAAATATTCTTTTTTTCCCCTTCCCAGGCCTAGTAGAAAATAAAAATAGGAAAACCATCATGCTCATCACTCCATCCATGCTCCTTTCATTGGAGAAGTTTTAGGAACATCTTCAAACTATTGCAGTCTTATTAAAGAGCAAATGTAATTTTCAGAAATGGATTTCTTTTGGTTAACGTACAGGTTCACCATGAAGATAAACACCTTTTACCCAGGCAGATATATCAGAGGACACCAGACACACATACAGAAAAACCTTCTATAAACAGTTGCCTCAGATAACAGAGAGATATGTCTACATCGTCCTGAATTGCAGCAAAACCCACAGAAAACAGCAAGTGCTTGAGTAGTAAGGATCTGAATACTGGCAAATGAGCTCCCTTTTCAGGCATAACTTATGACTTTGATGTAGCTTTTTGAGAGATGCAAAAACCAGGACTCCATCAGATGGTTACATTTACAGTATTTTTTTCAATTTCTGAACAAGGACAATCAGGAAGGGAAGTCTGCCATTCCAAAATCACGGTGATATTGAGGCCGAGAACCTGCATTATTCTTTTCTCAATGTAGAGAAAAAAGGCTCATTTGCCAGGAATGATTTTTGCTCAAGCAAAAATCTCACTCAAAGCAAAAAAGCTCACATCTCAACACAAAGCTTTGCCAACTAAACCATTACCTGTTACACTATAGCGAGCCTTAAAAACTCAAGGCTAATCAAACACAGGATAATCAAACTGCAATGATACCTTTCAAAAAGCAGCTTGTCTGTTTGTATGACAAAATAAGTTTCCCAAGTGCTTCGTGCTACATGTTTTCTCGTATTTGAGGACCAAAGCAAGAGTGAATATCGATCCTACCTTCAAAGGAGAAATGTGCGACTGTAAGACATATCCATGGACATTCTCTATTTGAGACAAGTTCTTCTCTGACACGTGAACAAGCTCTGGGCCTCTCACTTCGTGGGTTAATCGAGGCAAAGTATGGTCATGTGGAGCGTCCTCATCTTGATAACGATATTTCTAGAGAAAAAAGATAGCAAGGGAGAACAAATAAGATTTGAGGAGGCAATACACATGTATTAATGTAAATATGGGATAACAGATAAAGTATCAGACATCAGATGATATAACCCGCGGATTTCCTGATCTGTTCTGGAGAGAATACCTCATTCTTTTTTTAACAGTTCATCAAAGAGAGAAAATGTGGTGTATCGCATTGATACACAAAGCTTCTACCATCAGATAGACATCTGAGACGACATACTGGCAAGGGTTGATAATGAAAATAAAAAGGACGTGTTGATTGGCTGAGCTGTAGCGTCAGCTCACATTTCACATCCCCACGTTAATAACCGCACTTCTACAGCCTTTCTCCGCAAAATATTTGAGTCATTTTCCATTTAGCACCAGGTACGCTGATGCTGGAGAGCACACATGCACTTCCACAGAGCCACAGTCAGGCAGAAAATTACTCTCTGGTAAAGTTTTCTCCTTACCCTGAACACTAATTAGGGTGTGAGGTGTTGTAACTTCCTGCTCCACGGAGAGGCAACATGAGGAACAGGAGGTAAGCAGCTTGTCCAAGATCCAAAACGAAGCTTGTAACAACAAGGCATATAACCCTAAAAATTAGATTAAATGACCAGATCCGTCCTTTAGCTAGAATCCTTTTTAAAAAGGCACCGCCTTTTTAAAGACGGGCCCAGCTGTGTCTTGTGGTGGGGCCATTGGAGCCAGCTGGAGCTGGCTGGAACCGGCTGGAACCGGTTGGAACCGGTTATGTTCGGCACAGGGCAGCTCCGACCTCTCTTCACAGAGGCACCTGCAGCCCCCCGCTGCCAAAGCCTTGCCTTTTATACATGACACTCATACACACCGCTGTTTTGAGGGAGAAGACTACTGAACGGGTCTCATGGGGGATAATAATTCTCGTGGCGTAACACAGTGGGGGGGGATGTTGAGACGTTACAGCACGGAGCAGGAGGAGGAGAGCAGAGTGTGAATCAGAAGGGGAGTTCACAGGTCTGTGGCACTAAGAGAGGGGCAGATAGTGTCATTGTAAATGCCTTTTTCACCTGACAGGTATATGCTAAAATATTGGAAGGAGCAAAATCAAAGACTAAGACTTATTTGGATGGCCATATAAGAAATATAAAAAGTCTTAAGTTCAAGTACGCTCACAAGGACATTGCAAAGCAGACCTCTCTGCTGCTCCTGCATTTCACTTTGACCGCTCAGCTCTGGGGTGTTACTTCATTTACTCATCCCTCCGAAGGAAATCATCCCGGTTTATTCCTGCCTTTGCTCTCATGTATGGAAATGTTTCAGCACTTGCCAATTATTTTCAGAATACACACGTGACATGATTTATTCTCCTCTTCTTTTCTGGGATATGCCTGCAACCCTTCACATATTCACTTTTTAGATAACATAATTAATGAATATATAAAATGACTGGCACCAGACAAGTATTATTTGGGCAAGAAGCCATCAGTCTAATAGATGGTACTCCAACCAATGTCACATTTAAGGCTTGGCACACAAATAATTTAAGCCTCAAGCAATCAATTATTTTTTGAATCCAGTGAGTACTCTTTCAAAAAAGACGACTACTCAGAGACACCCTCTTTAAAGTGAGTCATTTGCTAAAACGTGATTAGGAGAAGTAACCGCAGAATACCAGAGTCATCTCATCTCCCCGGGAAATGGTAAAATGAAAATGTCCAGTGACAGCTTTCCAAAGAGATAAGACAGTAGTGGCAGAAGCCATAAAGTGTTTTGTCATAGAATTATAGAATCATAGAATCTTTTAGGTTGGAAAGGAACTTTAAGATAATCGAGTCCAACTGTTAACCTAGCACTGCCAAGTCCACCACTAAACCATGTCCCTAAGCACCACATCTGCATGTCTTTTCAATACCTCCAGGGATGGTGACCCCACCTCTTCCCTGGGCAGCCTGTTCCAGTGCCTGACAGCCCTTTCGGTGAAGACGTTTTTCCTAATATCCAATCGAAACCTCCCCTGGCACAACTTGAGGCCATTTCCTCTCCTCCTATCGCTTGTTACTTGGGAGAAGAGACCGACCCCCACCTGGCTACAACCTCCTTTCAGGGAGTTGTAGAGAGCGATGAGGTCTCCCCTCAGCCTCCTTCTCTCCCGACTAAACAACCCCAGTTCCCTCAGCCGCTCCTCAGAAGACTTGTTCTCCAGACCCCTCACCAGCCTCGTTGCCCTTCTTTGGACACGCTCCAGCACCTCAATGTCCTTCTTGTAGTGAGGGGCCCAAAACTGAACACAGTATTTGAGGTGCGGCCTCACCAGTGCCGAGTACAGGGGCACGATCACTTCCCTAGTCCTGCTGGCCACACTAGTTCTGATACAAATATTGTACTCTCTCTATATATATACACACTGTTCTGTCCAGATCATTTGTGCAGCTTTACAGCACAAGAAGCAGTGTAAGGTGGCATTAAAGAGAGAACATCTCTTTGACCATCAGTAAGTCCTTTCCCCACCACACTGCAGTGTAACTGTTGCATAAATGAGAGCCAGATGGATGAACCAATTGGATGAACCAATTTCCCAGAGGAAATTGGTTCATCCTGAGCCCTAGACCCAGAGGAAATTGGTTCATCCTGAGCCCTGTGCTCCCAAAAAGCAGAACACTTGCATGGATCCCCACTGGTAGATTTTCCCATGAAAACTACACTTTATAATTAAAATTGATCATTTTATCCGATAACTGCACATTCCCACGACAAATTCAAAAATATCCATGTCCATGTGCCATAAACTGGAAAGTTTACAGAACAGATTTCCACTTTTCCATTTGCCTTTATGTCCCTCCCACCCCAAGCCCAACCTTCTCGTTCTTCACAAAGTACGAGCCTAGAACATTTCTGGGTCAACCCTGTTATGTGTTTGCCTCATGTTCTTAGCACCAAACTCATTGATTTTCGTATGTCTTTCCTCCCACAGCATCTTTTCACTGAAATGCTTTCAGCTGTGAACCAAAACAGCTTGACACAGCAAAAAGCCAGTGGTAAGGCTGAAAATACCAAACCAGAATTAAGACTCTCTTGCAGAAATGCCTCATTCATCTCCATTGCTCCGTCCTGATGGGGTCCTGCAAATGTCCTTGAAATTACCCCATTCCCTAGAAACCAGAGCTTTCTCTAAGGGTTAATTCAAATTTCTGGAGGGAAAAGCATGATTGCACGGAAATGCTACTCTTCATTTGACAAAAGAACAGGTGGATGTCTTATGATAATTAAATTACAAATCAGTGCCTGCTGCTGACAGGGTATTGTACGCTGCCAACTAGCATCAGATATTTAAAATCCTCTGTAATTACCTATAATGGGGGAGTGGAGTGCGCTGCTGTGAATTTTTAATATGAACGTGCCTTTTTATAAGAGATCATTCTCTCTACAATGTGAGATTATTACAGCATCACTGCTCCTCGCATCGTACTGTCTAAAGGAGCATTTCTAAGGCTGTGTTTGCCAAAGAGTTGTCAGCTAAAGAGGACTGAAGTTATGAATCCAGCAGAAGGTAATGGTCAAAAGCCTTAAATTTCAACAAAGCCAGCTCTCAAGAAAAAAAAAAAAAAGGTAAAAAAAAAAGTGGGAAGTTACAATACAAGTTACAATACAAGTTACAATAGCCAGACTACTGCACTGGCATGGAAATACAGTTCTTACAACCTACCTTTGACAGATTGTCAATGAATTAAGATAGCAGGGAATTTGTCATTCAATTCTGGGCCAAAGAGAACTGGTTTGTACAAAAGTCCTCAATATTTTTTTGCAGTTACCATCAGTTTGCTTTGCGGAAAATGCAAACAGAACATTTCATTTTAGATCAACTCAAACCGACCTGTCCCCTAAGCTGCGGAATGCGGTCCTACTGGAGTTGCCATTCAAAAGCACAAGTCCCTGTTCTTCTCTACGTGGGTCTTTGGCTGGACCACACTCCAACACATCACACATTACTTCTGCTTGCAATAGGAGGGCCGCAAAAGGAGGGAGCAAACTGGTACAGGGGTCACAAGGCTCTAAAACATCCTGTGAAATAAGAGTAGCCAGTGAATCCTGGTCTAAAGAGGATCTTGACCTACAAGAAGACACCCTGACATGTGCAAAAGATACAGAGGCAAAAACATGATGTTGCTTTTCACTCAGCTGAAGCTTTATAGTAGATACAGCTGATAGATATTAGTGGTGGAAAAAAGGTACCACAACATACTATGAGATGGTAATCCATTCATGAGTGGATCCTGCTCCCAATCTCTCTTCAAAGCCAGTCTGTTAAAAATACTCTGGCTAGCATAATATGTTTTGTCAAAGGAAACAATAGCAATACTACTCGTTTTAGCTCTTACGCATCAGGATTTCAAGTCTCAAATATTATTTCTGTTTCATGGCCCTCCTCAGGAGGGGCCAGACTTCTGCACCTTAGAAGCTGTGGGTCTTCATATAACCAATATAACTTAGAGACCACAGGGAAAGGAATTTCTGCAAAAAATTTCCCACATGACACAATAACCTCTTACAGATCCAGTTGTCCCATTGCAATCTGGGGATAGACAAGGTATGCAGTTGGGTCCCAACTTCTTATCCCTCGCTTACTTGCCTTTTCCCTCAATCCAGGATTTAGGCTGCTTTGCAACTCACACACAGATTAACCCCACTGCTAGTCATCTGCTGCGAGCTTGACATGGGAGCTACCTTCGAACAGGTTGAGTGTCACCCCCCTTCTGCATGATATTAGGTCCAGAATTCAATACACTGGATTTCTTCACAGTTTTAGCAACAGACAAAAACTAAAACCATAATGGACTTGGTCCATTTAGACAAAAATTTAATCTGCAAAGTCCCATTAAAAAATGTTAGTGCCACCCTGTCTCACTTTTGTGCTCAGTTTTTTCAGTGGTCTTCAATGTGTCGAATTTTACTGGCACTGCTCTCCAAAGGCAGCAAATTTCAATGTCACACAGATGAGTATCTTGAGAAAACAA